CCATTTAAATAATGGAGCTCTGTTCAGAAACCTAATGCTAAGTGATCAAATATGCTTTTAAAAAGGACAGTTCTTCGGGGCAGTGCATGCTACATAGAAAGCACGAAATTAACTGGGCAAAATGTGGAGCAATGGCACTTAGTGCAGAGACGTTAAGCTGAGATTAATGCTAAATCTATCCAGCCAATGCTGAGCAGCAATCGACAAAATCAACAGGATGTTCAACTACATTGCGAAGACAGCAGAATATCAATGAGGAGATGTCATGGTCACATTGTACAGCGCTCTTGTCAAAGCGAATATTGCATGAATATTGCATCCAGTTCTGGTTGCCATGATACCAGATGGATGTTCAAGCACTGGGAGCAGGACAGTGAGAGCTGTGAGCGTGACCTCTGGGGTCAGAACAGACCTGAGAACAATGGGCTGTTCAGTGAGGCAAATATTGGATGATGATAATAATAAGTGACTTGATGTAGTTTGTAGCATAGAAACAGTTCCCTTGATAGTCTACTGCCAAGTAGGTTGCTCCAACACAGACACACACATACATTTTTTGGATCAGGTATTAGGAATTCCTTTGCATCAAGATTGATTGACAGGTTGACTGAGGTTCCAAAGAGAGTAGCAGAGGCAAAAGCTGTGCACCTAGTGAGGAAACATGTCTGACTGTTGTAAGTGGATGTGTTTGCATCCTGTAAACTGGCCTGAACCTGGTTCCCGCTCCTACCATGTGGTTTGCCTGCTGATTTTGGTAGCACTGTGACAAGGTTGTTCTTTGAGGCCTTGCAGAAGCAGGCCCCTGTTGGGTCAACTGGGGCCTTTGATCCATCATAATTCCCAGTTGTTAATGGATCAACAATGGACGTTGTTCCACCTCCAAGACATTCCTGTTGCATTCAATCCATATTTGATGCCCCCTGTGTGTGCATTAACTTTATTTTTCCTCGCTAGTCATGAATACCGACTTTGTGGCAAATTTGTTGGAGCACAGTTGTGTCTGTTCATTTGGTAGATGATTAATTGACCCAGTTTTCTCTGTTTTACTTACCTTCTGTGAATGCAGATTATCCTGTATTTACTCAAAAGGTCAGCCACAGTACAAACAGCCTGTCTTTGCTGAATTGAAACTCATCTGTCTTCTATTTTTCAAAAAATAAAACGATTGTCTTCTGGGGGATTAAATCCAGCATTTTGAAGCAGATAGAAGAGCTCAGGGTCACGCGCAAATTGTTTCATCAGGCAATGTGCTATCACTTCATTTTCTTCGGTCAGGTGTCCTCCAGGCCTTTCTGAACAATGAGATTAGCCACCTGACTGGAAGTGTTTTAGGAATACTGGGTTTAGGAGCAGGAGTCAGCTGTTCAGTCCTTTGAGCTCAGTTGCAATTCAACATTTGATTCATAATCGAGTAGATCATAGTTGTTCCACATTTACTTCCTTTCGTAAAAATTATTTTTGAGCACTGTCTAACAGCATGCCTTTGATAACGCACTTAAGCATTTTGAGAGATGTATCACGAGGTAGTGATGTCTCAGTGCCAGTTTCAACACCTGTCCTGATTTTTTTTTTAATTGGCATTCAAAACTCTGAAAGAGATAAGTGCATTGCTCACATTTAGCACAAAAACAGTGGTACACGTCTGCAAGGGCTTGAGTAAAGCCTTTGACAAGGTTCCGCATGGTTGACTAATTAGTAAAGGTAGATCACGGGATTCAGGGAGAGCTTTCCAATTGGATACAAAATTAGTTTGACGGTAGGAGACGGAGGGTAGTGGTGTAGGGTTATTTTTTGGACTGGAGGATGTGACCAGCGGTATTCCACAGGGATAGGTGCTGGGTCCACTTTTGTCATCTAAAAAATGATTTAGATGAGAATTTAGGAGGCATGGTCATTAAGTTGGTGGATGACAGCAAAATTAGTCGACAGTGAAGATTATCTAAAATTACAAAGGGGTCTTGATCAATTGGACCAATTGGCAGATGGAGTTTAATTTGGATCAATGCGAGGTATTGAATTTTGGTTTTAAAAAAAAGCACAGGACTTACACAGTTAATGACAGGGCCCTGGGTAGTGCTGTCGAACAGAGAGACCTCGGGGTTCAGGTACATAGTTCTTTTGAAGTTTGCATCACATATAGACAGAGTAGTTAAGGAGGTGTTTAGCAGGTTTGCTTTCATTGCTCAGACCATTGAGTCTCGGAGTTGGAATGACCTGTTGAGGTTGTACAAGACGCTGGTGAGGCCATTTTTGGAGCACAGTGCGCAGCTCTGGTCGCCCTGCTACAGGAAGGATATTATTAAATTGAGAGGGTTCAGAAATTTATCAGGATGTTACTCGGACTGGAGGGATTGCGTTAGCATGATATGGATTGGCTAGGACTTTATTCACTGGAATGTAGGAGGCTGAGGGGTGACCTTACAGCGGTTCGTAAAATCACGAGTGGCATAGATAAGGTGAATAGCAAAGGTCTTTTCCCTAGGGTGGGAGAGCTCACAAGTAGAGGGCATATTTTTAAGATGAGATTAGAAAGATTTTAATGGTACCTGTTGGGCAAATTTTATACAGAGTGGTTTGTTTGTGGAATTAACTGTCAGAGGAATTGTTGTCTTACAGAGCTCTATAGATATTTTTGATCTTGTGTCGATCCAGGAACAGGAGTGAGCCATTGAGCTCCTCAAGCATGTTTTACCATTCAGTGAGATCATTTTTGATCTGGATTATCTGTTTCTGATCTTTAATGACCATTTATGCCCATAATTACTATTTGGAAACCCTGTCATATATTGGAGATCTGTTGTAGTGGTGACTCTCAATTTTGTGTGTCACTTGTATTCCTTTTATTCAGTAATGTAATAGCATCTTCTATCTGGCTCATTAGTTGCCAAACGAGCAATCCCTCTTCATGCAAACTGCAACTGCTGTTTGACAAGGTCAGGCATCAGGGATTCCAAACTCCAGCAATTAGGTGATTGAAGCTGTGTGTCATCACTGCCAGACTGGTCCTCTCGGACAGTAGCATTTCAGACAAATTTTCAGTTAGGAATGATTTCTAATCTTCAATTTGGGCTTCTGAGTATCTCCCATCATAAACCAGATGTCATTTGCAGGTGTTAAAGTCTACAATGAATAATGCTGGGAGGAAACAAATAACTGCAGCCCAATTTACTGACTCTATGGCTAGGACAAAATAATTCTGATAAGTTCTCCTACACATTTCCATACTGTGGAGATCCAATTTGTGTCTTTGCTGGCTTAATTTGGAGGAGAAAAGGAAACCCAAAACTCTTTTTCATTTACATGTACTTGCTCACTATTGAGGAGCAAGTTTTCATTTTAGGCAGGAATTTTAGTGAGTTATCGGATTATTCCCTGCTCTTTCAGTACAGCTGGAGAGTCGCGTGATCAAGGAGAATTAATAAGGATGGGTCATCGACCAAGTGGCATTGGTTAGAGACAGGGACAGGTCAACAATGAAAGCCTTCAGCCAGGAAATAGCCATGCATAGCAATGCACAGTATTTCCGTGACAGAAACAGGCCATTCAGCCCAACAGATCTCTGCTAGCGCTAAAAAGAATGTAAGACGAAGGGGTTTTTTGTGATTCATGCACAAAGACCCCCTCGTGCATCTGTGCTGCAGCTTTCTGCAGTCTTTCCCTGTTTAAATAATATTCAGGTCTTCTATTCTTCCTACCTAAGTGCTTGAACACTAATTTTCCGAAACTAAATTATATTCCATGATATGCTCCGCAAGAGACTCATCTCAAGTCCTCTGCTTTTGCTTCTTCGTCAAAGGCTATTCAGCCCATTGTGCCTCTTTGAAAGAGGTATCCACTTCAGTCCAATACTTCGGGTCCTTGCTTATAATCCTCCAATTTAATGCACGTCCAATTTACCTTTGAAAGTTCCCATGGAATCTGTTTTAGATTCAAATCTCAATCTTTGTGTGAAGAGATTTGGTGTAATTTTCCCTTCAGTTCTTCGACTGACTATTGTAAATCTATTTGTTAATCTGTTTATCTTCACACAGATTCAGGAGTTGCTTATTTTTTGTAGCACAGCAATGTTTTGTGTCTCACCGACCTTTAAAAATGCACATTTACTGTCACAATAGACGAAAGGGAGTGCCATTTTCCCTGTTAAATTTCATTGAGTTGAAGAGTTTAGTGGGTGAAAAGCAGAATTTCCTCACCTGGTGCAAAGGTTTGGGTTCACTTCACAGAGGAAACATCTGAAGGTTTAAATTTTAAGGCTCAGGAAATTGATTCCCTTCCGCTACCACCTTTCCCATCCCGAGTAACAAAATGTAGAGTTGGTAAGGCAAACAATAAAAGCAAAATTTGCATATTTTGGAAGATTGTTAGCAGCTTCTAGGAGATGTAGATAGTCAAAATCTGAATATTAGGCTGATGCAAACAATGTTTTACTTTACCTACGAACACGTGCATGGCAGAGCAAGGCCTCACTAGGAGCCAGGTCTTGGTTCCATTGGACTTGATAACATCATAGGTAGCACCATAAGCATGTGCTGGGTTGTAACTGTGAGAGTATTGGTACAGTTACCCCTTCACTCCACAACATGTGAATGTGGTCCTGCCTTCAACTCAGTCAGCACGAAGGGATGGTTTCTCTTGGAATTGCAGTTACAGAATCAATCAATCTGTGTGTGTGTATGTGTGTGACATTAATCTGCACCGATCGGGAGGCTGGAACTGTGCTTGCATAAAATGAAATTCAAGTGTCCCTTTATTTAATTTTTTTTCATTTCATGCAAACTCTATTTCTTTTTTCCATTTCTCCTTTAAAAGCTCACTGCTAGCATGTGCATTTGCTCTTTGAGTTTATTGAAGCAAAGTCAAGTAAAATCTTATGTTTTTTGCAGAATTGTGTGATTTGACTGTTCTCCTGTATTTTTCTCCCCCTCTCTTTTTCTTTCTTCTCTCTCCTCTCTCTCTCCCCCTCTCTCTCTCTCTCTCTCTCTCTTTTTCTCTCCCTGAAGGAATGCTTGCCGAGTGAAGAAATATGAAAACCAATCTCTGGTGTTGGATGTTTGCCACCAGGTAAATTTTCTTTGTTTTTCAGTTGAATGGGGGAATCGCTAGTCTGACCTCCCCTGCAGTGATGAGTAAAAACACCACCATATGGCCTTTGTTATGAGTGATCCCATCACAGAATTCCCTACCTCCATGAAGTTAGGCTCAATAACAGAGATAATGAGTTTGCTCAGTTGGTACTTGTGGCCTTGTGGGGTCTGTCATTCAGAGTTCGGTTTAATAACTGTACGAGCGAATCCTTATAGCCAGCAATTTAAGCCAGGAACTTATCCAAAATATGGCTGCGTCAAGGGAGTGATGTCCAAACTGAGTAGCCATCCCATTGAATAAAGCATTGAGAGGGCTGAGGGGGTGACTTTTATAGAGATTTGGAAAATCATGAGGTGCATGAATAGGGTGAATTGCAAAGGTCTTTTCTCTAGGCTGTGGGAATCCAAAACCAGAGGGCATGGGTTTAATGTGAGAGGGGAAACATTTAAAAGGGACCTGAGGGGTAGACTTTCCACCTGTGCGTGTATAGAACAAATTGCCAGAGGAAGTGGAGGTGGATATAATTACAGCATTTAAAAGGCATCTGGATGGATATATTGCTATGGAGAAGGGGAGGTTAAATCAAAGAATATCCCTGATATTCACTTTATGAATAACAAGTAACAATTTATTTATTTAACCCTAACACTGAACAAAATTAACAGAATTACTACAAACCGTACAATTCCCCCTTAACTCCTAACTATTCTTGAACTGAACTAAAGTCTACTGGTATGATGTTCCAATAAACACAATTCTCACTTATATAAACCCAAGTAGTAAGAAAATTAAATTAAAACTTAGTCTCTCAAAGTCTACATGCCTTTCTTCAGCTGTCCTTGAGTCATACACATCTTTCTTCCTCTGATCTGTCATTTTTTTACAAATAAATTCCAGCTCTCTGCCTTCCAATTCACAATTACTTGACACAACTTCGTAACGATATGAATGGGAAGGGTTTAGAGGGATATGGGCCAAATGCTGGCAAATGGGACTAGGTCAGATTGGGATGTCTGGTCAGCATGGATGAGTTGGACCAAAGGGTCTGTTTCCATGAGTTAAGGCTATGTTAGGGATTTTGGTTTGTGAGGGTAGGAAGGTTCTCTGAGGCAAGGCATCGTAAATAAGAAGCTTCATTCATTTTTACCATTGCTATGAGGTTCACTTGGATCAGGTCAGTTTGCGTCCTAATGGGACCTGGGATGCGGTAGGGAAAAGGAATAGGAATGGGTTGGTGGTGAAGATGAAGACCTCCATCTGACCCTGCTAATATACCCGCCAGTAAGTGTCCATTGCTCCTTTCAATAGCAACATTATTTTGCGCATTCCTTCCTTTAGCGGCATCTGAAATCTTAAATGGGGGTTTATCAAGTACAAACCTGGACAGATATCGGGCTTGTAACAACATTAGGAGGGAGCAGGAAATGGAAGAGTGTCCCTGTTGCCATGACGATAAATTTGTCAGACCTGGTCTTCTGCAAACAGCCGAGAGAAAAATCAATGTTTCATTTTAATCAGTGTTGACCTGAAGACAGGAAGCAATCCTTTTACTCATTCCTGACATGGTGCTGTGTGACTTGCAGGTGGAGTATCAGTTTCAGATCTCCCCTGAAAGACTGTGGCTGTGGCAGTGCAGCACTGCCACTGTACTTCATTGAAGTGGCAGTTTCAATTGTGTGCTCGACTCTCTGGCACAAGGACTGACCCCATGAGATTGCTGCTGCATCAGATATGAGAACAGCTCTTGTGCAAAACCTCCTGTATTTGCACAGTGTAGATATTCTGCTATCCATCGTCAGATGTGAAATTCCAAAAAAATACCAATTTGGACAAGGAGGACAATATACCAATTTTGTGCGACCAGTGAGGAGTTGTACATGATGGGTGCGTAGATCAGAAGCAAGGCTACAGTGTTTCTCATTGGTCTGTTTGATTTGGTCATTGGATATGAGAATGCACTGGATTCTGGCTTTCATATTTGGACTCAAGTTAGGAGGAAGCTGCTATTTTGATGGTTTTTACTCCACTGAATCAGGCTCAGACCAGAAGTACAAGGGAGAATTGAGCCCTTGCTTCACTTCTGAGAGCTTTCTTCATTCCATATTGGCATGACTTTTTCCATCAGGGACAGTGTGATGGCTCATTATTCTTACTCGTACTGATCACAACAATGACACAGGCAGTGAACACTCTGTAACCTTGTGATGGCACACACCTCTGCCTGAACAGATTGCTCTTGTCAGCTCATTCTAGAAACCCAAAACAACGGAGGGATGAAATTGTAGTTTGTCATTCTTTGTAACTTAGCGATAACATTATTACGGAGATTTTCACAAGGTTAGTCCAGTATTAGGTCATCACCAACATTCCTAAAATGCATCAAAAATCCCTTGTCAACAAGCTGGTTACTGCCTTCCCAAGCTGCTGGTTCAAGTATTCCAAGCAGCTGCCGATGCTCTGGTGCTTTGGCCTTCACAAAGAGGGTTCTGTACTTCGTAGCAGAAGACAAATATTTCACTATCTATTTTTATGGTATTTCTGAAATGATAGGACCAGCTGAGTCTTCCAAACATTTTTCATTTTTCTGTTTTTGTCCAATCTTGACCGTTGAGTCACTTCGTTTCCTACAATGTATGGTGTCAGACAGAGCTACTTGAGAATAATCCCATATCCTTTCGCAGCTTTATTCTGTGTTTACCAAACACTGCAACAGTTAATGTCATTACTGGTCTTGTTGAACTGCAGAAACATAGGCAATAAGTTTTATTTATGCAACTCCTTTTAATGCCGCAAAATATCACATGAGCATCATCAGACAAAAAAAATTGAGACGGAACTGACAAAATGATAACTGGGTGAGCTAACTGAAAGCTTGCTCAGAGTTTAGGGAGCATCTTAAAGCAGGAGGTTTTAGTTGAGAATCTCACAGACAGGGTTCTGGGCATTTAAGGGCCAGGCATTTTGAAAACTGTTCATCGATAACAAAGTTCATCAGTGTTGTGTCTATTGTTTATATTTTTACTTACAATTTTTTATTTTAAAATATATCAACCAAACAATCCCAGAAAACTCAACCTGACTGAACAAACACTAACCAAGAGAATAGCAGGCTTGGTGGAGAGTCTAGGCCAAGTCAAAATGAAGGAGGACCTGATTGTGAGGCCCATTGATCCCTGAGTCAAAAGGTGTCATCACAGATTCAGGGACAAGTTGCAGATTGAAGCTTCAACTGAAGTTCTGAAAGATGGAATGTATGTGATGCTGATTTCCATGTTAATGACACCATCAGTTGTAAATGTTACTGAGGACCTGATTATTAACAGTGTACCAGCAGCTTGATAAATTGTTGGAACCCATTTACTGATGCCTATGCAGAATATCACCAAGACTAGTGGTCCTATTTGACAGTGCAGAGATTCTCTTTATCTGGAGAATGAGCTTGGATGGGGGTATAATTCATGGGCAACAGAGATGCTGGAGAATTTCCAAGTTGCTTTCCCCTGCTGCAGTAAAAGACAGTGACATGGAGTGACCATTGGTTAGTCTCCATGAGTGAACACATTGTGGAGGAGAAGCACAGAAGAGAAAAGGCACAGAAAGCAGGCACTGCCGCATTACTGCTAAGTACACAGTGAGGTCAGTTGTTTCGTTGTTAATTGAAAATAACATGCCCATGGCAGAGAAATGAGTCTTCAGAACATCCCAGCCACATTGAGAAGTGCGCCTGTTCGGCAGAGTAACTTCGACTGAAAGTGCAGTGTGGTTTTGTCCTCCAGAATTTGGTTTCTATACTCTCTCCGGCCTTGTGCCTGTTAACCAATGCCAATGGAAGGGTTTGTTGAGCACAGTCTTTGGGGTTTGATTTTTCAAGTAGCAAAGTCCTCCTTCCTTCTAACAACAACTTGAGTTTGTTTTAGATGACAAGGTGTAGAGCTGGATGAACACAGCAGGCCAGGCAGCATCAGAGGAACAGGAAGGCTGACGTTTTAGGCCTGGACCCTTCTTCAGAAACGTCAGCCTTCCTGCACCTCTGACGCTGCTTGGCCTGCTGTGTTCATCCAGCTGTACACCTTGTTATCTCAGATTCTCCAGCAATAGCAGTTCCTACTATCTCTGAGTTTATTTTAGGGCCTTTAACAGAGCAAAAAGTCCCCAAGGTTGGTTCCCAGGGAAGTTATTAAACAAGATTTGACACTGAACTGTTGGAAGAGTTGAGGAGTGTTGGTGATCAGATATATGGTAGAAGGAGAAATCTTGAAGGATTGCCAATATCTAAAGTTAAGGCTGCGGAAGGTACAAGTACCATTGGTGACGGATTGAAATCCGTATGTTGAGGGAATAGGGCACAAAGGGTGAATATTTCACAAGTGCAGTGATATTTGAGATTTGATAAAAGCTTGGAGCATCCAAGAGCTTTTGAACAGAATGATCAGAATTCTAAAACTGAATCATTGCTGGATTGTACAAGATGGAGTGAGAATAAGAAAGATGAACAGGAAAGGCAGATGCAAGCACTTGTTACTCACAATTTGTTTGTGCACAAGGTTGCTTATTAACACTGTATCAGTGTGCTTTTCCTGGACAGCAACTTGTCCCATCTCAGAAACCCTGTGACCTCCTGGATGTGAGATTCAATTCAACAATCTCATACTCTAGAAATCGGTTGGAACTGAAACAACCCCATTCCCCTGTTCAGAATATAGAACAACTGAATACAACTTGGCGAGTGGGATCGAGCTGAATGTCAGCAAGTTGCTTCAGTAATGTGGGGAATTCTGGTTTTATTCAACTGTACTTGAATTTCTTGTCTGAACACAGTTGTCAATGCGTTGAACAACCCCCTAGTGTCTGTTTAACTAATCTCAATTGGAGGTTTTATTGACCACAGACTTCTGAGTACAGTCGGACCCACTGGAAGTGTTTAGGAATGAAGTTAATCTGGAAATGAATTTTCCAATCACCTCAAGTGTAAGAAA